GACAGGTAGAGTCATAGACAGTGAGATAGACAGAAAGAAAGGTCTTCCTTCCGTTGGTTCACTCCCCAAATGGCCGCTAAAGCCGGCACTGCGCTGATCCGAAGCCAGGAGCCAGGTGCTTCTTCCTGGTCTCCCATGCAGGTGCAGAGGCCCAAGCATTTGGGCCATCCTCCACTGCTCTCCCAGGCCACAGCAGAGAGCTGGACTGGAAGAGGAGCAACCGGGACTAGAACCCAGTGCCCATATGGGATGCTGGCGCCGCAGGCGGAGGAGGATTAACCATGTGAGCCATGGCGCGGGCCCCATGACCATTTACTTTTGGAAGCCTAGAGGTCCACTGTGCTTTGACCCTGCTTCTCTGCACATGGTTCATGTTTGAAGCAGGAGAAGAAAGAAAAAGAGAAGAAAAGGAGAGGGAGAGAAAGGGAGAGGTAGAGGTACATGAGAGAGAGATAGATGTGGGGGAGGAGCAGGAGGGAGAAAGAGAGAGAAAAGTGGGAGAGAGAGGTAAAGGGGGTGGAGAGAAAGGGAAAGGGAGCAGGGAGACAGAGAGAAGAGCCAGAGAGACAGAGAGTGCATGCATTGGGCAGAAGGATGCAAAGGGAGCCTACACCTTGCAGAGGCATGACAAGAACCTATGAGTAACCTATGGAAATGGTGAAGTTAACCAAAGAGACCTCCCATGTAAAGAAAACCTTCCAGAGGGATGTGTACAGCAAGAAGCAAGGTCCCCAGCCACTGACACCTGTGCCCATGACAGACAGCAGTCAGATACATAAAACACCAAAGGGAAAGCACCTGCTGAGGTCAGAAGCAGAAGCACCCAAGAGGGGATATGACTCTTTCTGCTACTTATTATCCCCTGTCCAAAGATTTAGAAATGTGGAAGGAAAGAAGGAAAAATCAAAGAACGATCATATCATTCTCTGGTCCAAGGAATCACTAAAGCTTGTGACCAGAGAGCAGGGCATGTGTGTAAAACTGCATAAGATCCTGGGAGGTATTCTCCTTATCAGTAATTTTCTTGCTTTTACTTCTAATGTTTCAGTAAAAATTCTGCTTATTCTTTGCACTTTAGATGATAATGTTTTATTGTTTTATTTCTGAAGTTGTTTATTGTATTTTAGTATGCATTTATGAGTGATAATTGCAGAATAATTTTAAGCTATTTATTAAAGAAATATATTCAAAAATGGAGAATGTATCATGAGTTCCCATATACTTGTCACCCAGCTGCAACACTTATCAACTCATGCAGGCCTTACTTCACTTCCATCCTATCCAAGGCCCTCCCTCATCACTGCTCCCCTAGCAAGAGCTTTAACCAAACCCCAGACATAACTTCATTCTGTCTATAAATAGTTCAATGCATATCTCTCAAAGATAGAAATTCCAGACTAAGCATTTTATATCGACTTTATATTGATCTGGACTCCATGGGATTGCCTGGGGCATCCATGTGGAAGACAGAGAAGGATATTTCCATAGCTTGTGGTTAGAACACAATGAGCTATTTAATAAAACTTGTACTACACTAAGTTTTAGGTTATTCAATAAAGTTATTACAACTTGAGTATAAAGTATTTTATAGGAGCGTTACAATCAGTTGATTCAGGAGCAGTAAGTTGGGAATCTGAGGTCCTGAATGAAGGCAACACAGTCTTGACCTCAAACATGGCAGTGACTGGCTGGAGAATGGCAAACATGCCACGTGGCTGTCAGAGACCGACTTCCCAGAGAGACATTTACATCTCTCATTTGGATTCTGCTACTTTTTGCTTTGATTCCAAATCCATATCCAAAACCTGCATAGACTGATCAGAGTTGTGTCAGGGATTATCTGTCACATGCTAAATAATAAAAGGAAAATGGACAACGTCCTCCACCACGTGTAGTGACTGCTCAGGCCAAAGAGTCTGCAGTACCTAAAGGACTTCATAAAAATTGTGTTGGGTGAGTTTGTTATCAATAGTAAGAAGTACCCAGGCCCCACAGCTGCTTGATCAGGTATACTTCTAAAACAAAGTCAAATGAAGTCTAACATACACAAGCCAAGAAGTCTGTGTTTTAAGCTGCAAGACTTTAAGGATGTTCAAGAAATAAGGTCCACATATTTCCAACTCATTTAGTATGAAATCTTTAAATCATTCTTTTCTTTAAGGGTTACGTGATATCTTTGAAATCCTTTGAACATTTTTCTGAAAGCCTTTACATTTCCACTGACAGATAAAGGTAAATGGGTCTTGGCACCACACATCGCCAGCCAGAATATAAACTTTTTTTTCTTATGAGTGTACATTGCAGTCAGGATTTTCTCTGATGTTTTGTAATTTGCAGTTGAGAAATGAACAATCATGCATATTGTGTATTAGAAAGAACTGGATTTGGAGTGAAGTGATGGGGGTTTGCTCTCAGTTTGCCCACTTACTAGTGAATCACCTCTTCCTGAACCTCCATGTCCTCCACTGTCAGACTGCAGTGAGGCTCAAGGAACACTGAAGTACTGTGGGTGAAAATGCTGGGAACAGGAAAAAATATCTCTGTACTGGTGAGGACGACTACCTGCAAGTGTCAAAGGCCAACTGACGGGCACACATTGACCTGTGGATGAGATGCTGGTTAAGACTCTCTCATCCCACATCAGAGCTCCTGTATTACGTACCAGGCTGCAGCTTCTAACTCAAGCTTCCTGCTAACACAGATCATGGGAGGCAGTGGTGAGGGATCAAATGCTTAATTCACTACTACCCCAAGCCAGAGACTTCGATTGAGCTCCTGACCCCCAAGTTCAGCCTGGTCCAGCCACAGCCACTGTGGACATTTGGGAAGTGAACTAGAAGTCAGAGCGTCCTCATTCTCTAGAACTTCTCTGCTTTTCAAATAAATTATTTTTAAAATTTAAGCCAAATGAATTTATTGCACCAAAAAAAAAAAAAGGAATTTGTTATCAAAATACGGCTCGGAAGGGAGCTGGTAGGAGCACACTAGGACTTGACTTCTGCTTCTCCAGCTCTTGACAGGCCTCTGTCATGGTGAAATGTTCAAGTTTCCACCCCACCACCAAACCTGCCACAACAAAATGTTCTGAGCTCAGTTCTTGATGACCTGGCTAGGGATGTGTACCCAGGCTACACTCCAGGGGTGCGAGGACGTGGTGCTCCCACTGGTCCACTACATCATGTGTCCACCCAAAATTCCCAAGGTAGGGTCACATAAACAAGAGTAGGGAGATCCTGAAGAAAAATTAGCACATACCAGCAAAGGTGAAAGAATGCTAGGCAGATCAGGACTCAAAAATACACAGCACATATGGCATGGTAATAATATATAATAATAGTAGTAATAATTGCATAGCTAGTATTGTAATATAATTATTAAATACCATGGATATGATGGAGTTAAAGAAAAAAAAATCACTGTTCTGGGGCTGGCACTGTAGCATTCTAGGCTAAACCTCTATTTGAAGTGCCAGCATCCCATATGGGCACCAGTTTGTGTCCTGACCACTCCTTTTCTGATCCAGCTCTCTGTTTATAGCCTAGGAAAGCAATGGAAGATGGACCAACTGCTTTTGCCCCTGAACCCACTTGGGAAACCCAGAAGAAGATCCTGGCTCCTAGCTTAGGATCAGCCCAGCTCCAGCCATTGAGGCCATTTGGGGAGTGAAGCAGCAGATGGAAGATCTCTCTCTGTCCCTCCCTCTCTCTGTAACTCTGCCTCTCAAATAAATAAATAAATCTTTTATAAAAAAAAATCACTGTTTGACTTTCCTTATAAGATGTGAAAGACTGTAGAAACCAGTATCCTTTGAATTTTTTAAAGATTTATTTATTTTTTGAAAGTCAGAGTTATACAGAGAAAGACAGGCAGTGAGAGAGAGAGAGAGAGGTCTTCTATCCATTGGTTCACTCCTCAACTGGCCACAACAGCCGGACCTGTGCCAATTTGAAGCCAGGTTCCAGGAGCTTCTTCCTGGTCTCCCACACAGGTGCAGGGGCCCAAAGACTTGGACCATCTTCTACTGCTTTCCCAGGCCAACCAGAGAGCTGGATTGGAAGAGGAACAGCTGGGACTAGAACTGGCACACATATGGGATGCCAGCGCTTCAGGCCAGGGCGTTAACCCACTGCGCCACAGTGCTGGCCCCTCTTTGAAAGATTTAAAATCCAAGAATAATATGCCACTCCCCAGTATGTTTATCAGTTTTGTGTTACTGTAATGAAATATCTGATAAAGGCTACTTATGAAGAAAGGGGTTTTATTTTGGCTCATGGTTCTAGAAGTTCAAAGTCCAAGATCAGGTTTTCTCATTGACTAGGCATCCTGGGGTTTCTTTCTGGTAGAATCCCAAAGTGACACAAAGCATCACATGGCAAGGCAGAGCACGTGTGCCTATCTATGTATCTCCTTTAGCTACCATGATTTGATCATGGAAAGCCCCAACCTGACAGTCTAATCCAGTCTCATCACATCCCAAAGGCTTCACATTTAAACACCTGCAATGGTACCTTCTCAACCTAAAAACCTTAGGGGACAACCCTTTAACACATTGGTCTTTGGAGGACACCCAAACTAATATCCAAATCATAGCACCCAGTCAGAGCTTCTAGTCTGCTTCCAAAGCAGACCCTGAGATGGGGGTTTTCATGTCAGAATTTTATGCAGGCATGCACTAGAGGTCATAAATATCTGTGTGGCACAAAGGAGTCAGGACCAGTTCAATGCATGGGTCAGCAAACTTTTTCCATAAGGATACTGACAGTACTTGGTTATTATATTTTTATTTTTATTTTTTTTTTATTTTTTATTATTTTTTTTGACAGGCAGAGTGGACAGTGAGAGAGAGAGACAGAGAGAAAGGTCTTCCTTTTGCCGTTGGTTCACCCTCCAATGGCCGCCGCGGCCGGCGCGCTGCGGCCGGCGCACCGCGCTGATCCGATGGCAGGAGCCAGGAGCCAGGTGCTTTTCCTGGTCTCCCATGGGGTGCAGGGCCCAAGCACCTGGGCCATCCTCCACTGCACTCCCTGGCCACAGCAGAGGGCTGGCCTGGAAGAGGGGCAACCGGGACAGAATCCGGCGCCCCGACTGGGACTAGAACCCGGTGTGCCGGCGCCGCTAGGCGGAGGATTAGCCTATTGAGCCACGGCGCCGGCCCTGTACTTGGTTATTATAAAGAACCTGGTTCTGTAGGAAAAAACAGCTTTTGTGGCAACTATTCAATGCTATTATTATAACACAAATGCACCCATAGAAAATACTTAAATGATTAAGCTTGTGTGTGTTGCAATAAAAGTTCACTTATGGACAATTAAATTGAATTTCATATAATGTTAAGGATCACAAAATATCATTTTCTTGCTTATTTTTTCAATAATTTAAAAATATAAAAATAACCCTTAACTCACAGTCTAAACAAAACAAAAACAAGCAGCAAAGCAGATCTGGCCAGTAAGCTATAGAAAAGGCTCATCCCTGGTTTAAAAGAAGTTGAAGTAAGATGCAGTAGCAACAGGGCCTCTGCCTATCCCAATGGGATCTCCTGAGATGAAATGGTCCTGCAGAGTTGCCTGAGTCAGGGATAAACTGTCCCTGAACTGGGGGCAGAAGTAGGCTCTTCCTCAGTCTATATGGGTACAAGCTATTCAGATTCTGGGATTCAGATGAGGGAGATGGAAAGGGGTACATGTTCCTTGCTTGCATTTAAGGTGACAGTAGTGGGTCCAACAGGCCTTGGTGACAAAGGGCTCACTCTTGTATCATTCCTGGTCACTCCTGGTGCTTGGACTTAAGTTCCTACTGGATGCATCATGATATACTTGGAACTGGATCCCCAAACCCCAAACTTTCACCATCTACTGTTTGTTTCAAATTCTAGAACTCTCCAGATATGGAATAATCCTGACATTTTTTGCACCTGGAAGTTCACCAAAAACATCTATCTTCAATTTCTTCTAGGTTCTCACAGCCTTAATAGTACATGTGAGGCCGGCGCCGTGGCTCAATAGGCTAATCCTCCGCCTGTGGTGCCAGCACACTGGGTTCTAGTCCCGGTTGGGGCGCTGGATTCTATCCCAGTTGCCCCTCTTCCAGTCCAGCTCTCTGCTGTGGCCTGGCAGTGCAGTGGAGGATGGCCCAAGTTCTTGGGCCCTGCACCCACATGGGAGACCAGGAGAAGCACCTGGCTCCTGGCTTTGGATCAGCGCGGTGCGCCGGCCACAGCGCTCTGGCAGCAGTGCTCCGGCCACAGCGGCCATTGGAGGATGAACCAACGGTAAAGGAAGACCTTTCTGTCTGTCTTTCTCTCATTGTCCACTCTGCCTGTCAAAAAAAAATAGTACATGTGTAGCTCAGGGAGTAAGTATACTTGCTGACTGTTCAAACAGGTGAACTTCCTATCTTTCTGTCTTGTAGGAGCTCTACCCTGAACAATTCTTACCTTTGTTCCTCAGATTATAGAAAATGAATTAGAAACAATTCAAACCCTATTCCCAAGGCAAGGATTGAGAGGAAAAAAATCTCACTTCACAAACTCAGGATTCTCTTAAGCAGTCTCTTACTTCAGAGTCTCCCTGTTGGAGTGATGGTGGGGGTGGCAGATAGTAGGGCTGCCTTTCTCTCTCCTGCCAGCTGTCTAAAAGCCTTCTGGGGATATGGTTGGCCAAATTGCTGGCAGGTACTCTGTACAATCTGTCTGTAATTTGGGGCTTTAACTGCAGTTCCTGCCAATAGAGAAGATCCTGTTCAACATTAGCTGATATATTTTTGCTTTTGCTTTTGCTGTTGATTTGTGTTGTGTTGGGTTCTGCTGGGTTAGGGGTTGGCTGTTGTTATTTGTTTTGGTTTTGCTTTGACAGGTAACAGTGCACTATTATAGATTTAAAACCAACCAACAAACAAAACTCCCTCTGAAAAGTCCATGTTTGCTTTTCTAATTTTTTCTTATCAAGTCCTCTCTAAGGAATTTAATGGCTATGTTTATGGGGTTTATCCTTAGGAAAACAATATAGTACTTGCATAGCTGGTAGTCATTCATGATTGCTTAAAATTAGGTACTTGGGCATAGGAGGTAACAGTAGTCCTTTTTATTCTTTTTTTAAAGATTTATTTATTTATTTATTTGGAAGTAAGAATTATACAGAGAGAGAAGGAGAGGCAGAGAAACAAAGAGATAGAGAGAGAGGTCTTCCATCCACTGGTTCACTCCCCAATTAGCCACAACAGCCGGAGCTGCGCCAATCCGAAGCCAGGAACCAGGAGCTTCCTCCAGGTCCCCCACGTGGGTGCAGGGGCCCAAAGACTTGGGCCACCTCCTATTGCTTTCCCAGGCCATAGCAGAGAACAGCTGGGTCTCTAACCGGTGTCCATATGGGATGCCACCACTGCAGGCGGCAGCTTTATCCATTATGCCACAGCACCGGCCCCAAGTATTCCTTTTCCAATCTAACTTTCTTAGAATTCTGCAGTTTATATTCTACTTATAAACTGGCTATTGCAGAAAGGCTGGTCCATACCATCAAGAAGTCGGTATCTATTATGAACTGTGCGTGACTATTTACCAGGCACAGATCTATGCTCATGTATTTGCATGTCTGCAACTTCCAAGTACATGTTTCCACTGATACACTCATCAGTAGGATTGAGATGAAAAAGATTTTTTCAGTTGTCACTATTACCACATGTGGAGCAATAACTAGGTGGATGGAAACAGAGTTCAACCATATCGTTGCTATAGGGGTAGTTTTCCAAAAAGAGATCCATAGGTGCAGACACGCAAGATTGGACTGCCCTTCAAATTCAGACAGACTGTAAAACAGCTTTGATCTACCAAATAGGAAGACCTGTGATCTTCCCCTGACTGGTTGTGAAAAGTAGCAGAAATCAAATCATGGAAGATTCTTCTTCACTAAACCTTCGAAAACAGAGAGACAGTGAGTCCTTTTCTTCTTCAACTTCTTATGCATATGCACTTCTGTAACAGGAAATTGCCTCTGTGTTTGACTTTTTGGGGAAAGTGCTATGTGGTAGAAAAGGTACCCTAATCCACTGCCGGTGGGAATGTAAACTAGTACAGCCATTGTGGAACTCAGTATGGAGTTACCTCAGAAAGGGGAAAATAGATATACCACATGACCCAGCCATCCCACTCCTGGGAATTTACCCAAATGAAATCAACATATGAAAGAGTTATTGCAGTTCAACTGACAATAGCTAAGATGTGAAATCAACCCAAATGTCTATCAACTGATTACTGCATAAAGAAATTATATGTGGAATACTACTCAGATGTAAATAAAATGAAATCCTCTCTTTTGCAACAAAAGCAATGCAACTGGAAATGGAAATGATTATACTTAATGAAATAAGCCAGCCCCCAAAAGACAAATACTGTATGTTTTCCATGATCTGTGGTAACTAAGAAAGCCAAAACAATGTAATGTATATGAATAAAACTGACACTTTGAGATTTGGTGATTTTTACAGCCCTTGTCTCTACTGTTGAAGTGTTTTTTTTTTCTTCTTACTGTTTAATTCTTTATTTTGTGTGGGGTTAATATTATAAGATAAACTGAGAGTATATCATTGTAAAAATTAAAGGAAGGAGGAGGGTGGGTAAGAGAGAGGGTAGGGTGGGAAGTATTACTAAGGTCCTAAATCTGTATATATGAAATACATGGAAGTTGTTCACCTTAAAAAAATTTAAAAATAAAAACAAGACAAAGCAAAAAGCAAAGCTCCATTTGATTCCGTCTAGTTCACACTGACAGCAGGAAGCACTATCACCCAGGATCTGTCTAAGGCAGGTTTTCCAGCTATTGGGACCTCTTCCAAGGACTCCACTTTCTTGTTTGCTGTTTGCTTCAGGTGGATCAGGAATCTACGAGGATATTGACACCAACCACAAGGCAATTAGGGGCATGCTAATAAGTCATACCCATTGTCTTTCTTCTGGAATAAGTCCTTCTTTGACCACCATATGGACTTGACTCACCCCCTGAAGAGTAGGTTGCTGTTCCTGTCCTGCAACTGATGGTAATTTTATGCCTAATAAAGGCTTCATTAACACACAGGCATAATGAGGCACTGTATGTAATAGCTGGTAAGTCTGTAAGTTTGGTGTATTTTATATTAAAATGTGCACATTATTTCTTCCGTGCTTCTTAATTAAAAAGGACAATAATGTAAGCACATCATTCTTGAATGATGAGTCTACTTGCACCTCCTTGTAAATTAGATCCCACATTGAATACATCTTGTACACAGATGGGAATTTGTTTAATGAAAAGGAAAACAAAATAAGAAGCAAATTCTGTTAGTAGAGCTCCATCTCCTTTTCTATGCAATGTTGACAACAGAAGTGGATTTCCTAGAGAGGCAGGCATTTGGCCTAGCAATTAGGATACCACCTGGGATGTATGCAACCCATATCAATGCCATCAGCGCAGGAGTTTCACTGCAGCTATGCTCTTGATTCTAAATTCCTACTAATGTGTACCGTGCGAGCAGCAGGGAAGGGCACAAGTACTTGGTTCCCTGCTACCCACGTGTAAGACCTGGATTGAGTTCCAGATTCCTGGCTATGGCCTGGCTCAGACCTTGGATGTTGAGGGCATTTGGGACATGAACTAGCAAATGAAAGATCTCTGTCTCCTTTCTCTCTCTCTCTCTCTCTCTCCTCCTTTCAAATAAATAAAAATAAATCAACAAAAATATTTAAAAGACTATTTCATGGAGCTGTATTGTCCTAAGACACAATTTCTATGCCGCTAGCTATACCTTAATGAGAGCTGCAAGAGATCCTAGGAGATTTAAACAATATAGAGGTGATAATCTTGGCAATGATTTTATTGTTGGATCTACTGAACATTTCCATTACTTCTGTTAACACCTACATTTCACTTTCCTTAAATGGATTGCTTCTCTGGCTCAGAAAGAGGATTCTTTCCTATTAGATTCCACTCCCATCCCCTTGTTACTCCTTCACCTTGGAAATAGGAGAAAAATCAGCAATCTCTGAAAGAACTCTAGTTGGTCTTTTGTGTGGTACTTGCAAGATGCCTACATTAGCCCAGAGGATTCTTGACTGGCAATCATTACTACATCCACTGTTAACTCATGAGTAGACCCAAACAGCATCAACCAAGTTTTCAATGTAATAAGTAGTTAATGGTTTCATTTGGTGGTTTCTTCAATCAACTAATTGCAGCCTTTAAAAGGATATCACTGCTTGGCTAAAAGAAAAGTTATGCTAATCAAAAAATTTTCAGAAATGACTGAAAAGTCAGAAAAATGAGTTTAAGATATTAAAGAAATCATGCTGCCACTTTCAGAGAGACAGTCAATCCATAGGCTTGGAATTCTGAAATTCCAAGTGTTTCCTGGGTTCAGTGGTAGAACTTCAGAGTTAAGGCTATTAACAACATGGAAATAATATTAGAAACAATATGGAAGTAATATTAGAAACAATCTAACCCAAATTCCTCAGTTTATAAACAACAAGTGAAATCTGGACATTAAAACTGCTTGACCAAAGACTGAAAACAGACTTACACTTAAAGCTATGTCCTCTATATTGTTTGGAAGCTGTTAGTAAAGAGTTGTGTGTACTAATGAAATTAGGTATAGGACAAGAACAATGCCACACTTATTTAAATATTTTCACAGTAATTTTTAAAGCATAATAATTATCATTAATGTATAGTATTTTCAGAAATAGTGATTACAATAAATTTCATAGAGTCAAATCAGAATGTTTATCTTTGCATACACTGTATTGGTTCTGACACCCACCATCAATGTAAACGTGCAATTTGCTTACATAGCATGGAATTACACAAAGGCATACTCAGGTCTGACAATCTCTAGGTGGTGGTTGCTCTGTATTCTCTTACCTGCTTGTGCATTCAATCTGTTATACCAAGTTATTCTCGTATGTATATGGAGAAAATTCACTCTCACACAGATAGGTAACTGGAAAAGGTAGAAGTATTTTAATAGCCATTTCAGATAACTGTCAATATTCTTCTTTGATGCAATACTCAAATGCAACAAGATGTCGTTTCTTGGAGATCATTTGCAATATGAAATCAGAGACTTTTCATACTGTCCCATTAACACATTTGGTCTACCTTACAATTGACCTGGATCTTGCATGCATGACTTTACACATTTAAGAAATACTGGTCACTGAGTTTCACAGAGACTTTAAATGTTAATACATTTAATTCTATGGTATAAAAAAACTACATTCACTAGTAGTACAAAAACAGCATAATATTGTATTGAAAGCAGTTTTAACACAGACCCATAAAAAAGGGGTTTTTAGTGGCCCCAGACCACACTTTAAGAACTGTACTTGAAATGGTATAATTGCATTGTACTCACCATTTCTGAGATTTCAGTTCTTCCATTTCTACCATTTTTCCTGAACCAGAAGTCAGAAACACTTTCTGTCACAAAAGAAACATTGACAGTGAAGAATGATAAAGAGCTACTGGTAATTTCAACAACCCATTCAATCACACATTTAAGGTAGTCTTCTCAAAGCTCATGAAAAATATGTGTTATGAGAAAAACTAGGTATAGATTTCAAAAAAATTGTGCTGAAATAAATTTATCTTTTTAAAAAAGATTTATTTATTTATTTGAAAGTCAGAGTTACAAAAAGAGGAAGAGACACAGAGAGGTATCTTCCATCTGTTGGTTCATTCCCCACATGGTTGCAACAGCCAGGGATGGGCCAGGGTGAAGCCAGGAGCTTCATAACTCTCTCATGTGGGTGGTATGGGCACAAATACTTGGCCATCTTCCACTGATTTTCTGAAGCCATCATCAGGGGGCTGGATCAGAAGCGAAGCAGCTGGGACACAAACCAGCACCCATAAGGGATATCAGTGTTAAAGATGGTGATTTTACCAACTATACCACAATGCCAGCCCCAATAAGCTTATCATTTAATTCCATCTTCCCATGAACTAGTTGGAATATCTTTGCAAGTTTATTGAATGCCAGCCACAGCCTAGACATTGTCCCAGGCAACCATTCAGAGAGTTGGCAAGAATGAATGATGCTCACACAATAAGATAGTTTCACTGCTTCTGTCTGAGACACAGATTCATTTTTATCAAAATAGTCAAACTATAACCTACATCAGTAACTATGGTTCCTCAAGTAATTCACACTTGTGCTTTAAAGATACAAGTCACCATGGGTTATATATAAGAACACTCTATTATCTTTGCAACTTATCTAGAACCCTAAAATTATGTAAAGTAAAACTTTATTTTTAAGTTAATTAATACAGTATTCTCTGATTTCTTTAGTCAAAAATATTGGATTAAGAATTTGTTTAAGCTGGTCATTTCTCTTTTATAAAGAAATTGATTTCACTTAGAAATTTTACCTTCAAAACAGAACAATAAATTTTATTCCAAGGAAGAAATGAATTTGATAAGGGTATAAAAATGAACTCAGAAACACAAAAAATTAATAAACATCCATTACACTAATATATATCCTATGCCTGCTCTTTCTCCATTTGTTTCTAAGCTAAATGTGCTCCTTTCCACTTTTGCAATAACTCTCTACATTAGGTCCTATGTTTCTCGTCCTTTACAGGGCAATTTATTTGTCAGTGACAGAGCCAGAGCTAGAAACATGGTCTCTCCGGATCCAGAGCCCTTGATTTCAGCTGCTTGGCTCTGCTGCTCTTACTGATGTGATTTCCAGAGATGGAAATTTTACAGTCAATGCTGCAATGATGAACAGAGAAATGCTTTCATTATTGCTGGAATCAGTACCTAATTTTCACGCTACCTTTACCCCTGGGCCAATTATAAGGATGGGACGGTAGTCTGGACCGGGTTGGGTATGCTTTTAAACTAAGGTGTCCTATATATGCATTGGGTAACAAATCAAGACATCCAACAACAGAAGCCCAGAAATCCAAAGCAGTTCACACAGAAAGAGAATTAAATATGCTTCCCTTACCACATGGGAAAAAAAAAAAAATTTAATACAATTAATGTTTGCCTTCGCTTATGAAATAAATTATGATTTTAGTAAGCATTTTAGTCTAAAGATTTTGAAACATACTCAAAAATAGAGAGAATGGGCATATAAATCCTGAACAATGAGGTTAAACAATAATCAACCTTTGACAACCTTATTTATATTTTACTTACACATTTTTTGGAATGAGGACTACAATACTTTAAAACAATCCCATATCTTACATTCTCTAATGATAATCTTATCATTCTCTAATCCAGTGAGTACTAGCTTTAAGATAACCTCAGAACATTCTCATTGAATGAACAATTCCTTAATATCTCTAATACTCTGCATTTACATTCTTATGACTGCCTCAAGAATTGCATCATGTGATTAGCTTATTTAAATCAGGAGCCAAATATGCTGTATATATTGCATTTGACTGGTGTATATCTGAGGTTTATTTTCATCTCTCAGTCTCCTCTCTCTTCTTTTACACCATTTATTTGTCAAAACAACCATGTTATTTGTCTTGCTGCATTTCCTATGTTCTAGGCTTGGTAGTTGCTTCCTTGTGCAGTCATCTGACATATTCCTTGGCTTCTCATATTTTCTCTTAACTGCTAATAAGATGAAAAGATTTGATGAGATGCAGTTTAATTTTTTTGCCAAGAATAAATGCTGCATTTTAATTGGCACTAGATGTTTGGATAGAGTCAGTAGATTCCAGTGTGGTCAGCCTGGTCCAGTCATTATAGAGTTCCCTGCTGACCTGCACTTAATGATTTTAGCAGGCAATTTTTATGGTCACCTAAATCCAGTTTCTCATGGGGCTGCAAAATTATTATCTAGTTCTATCATTCCTTCTGTACTTACAAGCTGGAATTCTCTTCCAAATATTACTCTGAAATATAATGTATGCCCTCCATTGAAAAATAAATGTTTGATTCTAAATACATTTATTTACCAGTACTCAAAGAGTTGGCTGACATCCTAGAAACTTCCAAACATGACCAATTTTGTTTGCACCATTTTGAAATCACATATTTTTACATACTTAAAATGTTCAATCCATAACAGCCTTTATTTTGATCCTGCAATTGTCTAAGATCTAGCTACGGATGTCTCTTCAAATCCCCCGTGTCCTTTATACACAATTTCAGGATGATTCAACTTTGTCTCTCACACATTTCAAGCTGAAGGAATGCAAACTGGAACTGATAATTTCTCCAGGGATGCCCATTTCCCTCACATGGGAAACAGAAATTAGAGAACAACCAGGCATATCATAATTTTATTATTTCAGATTGTGAATCTGTTGTCTGGCTAAACTGCTTTGGCAAGAAATTATGCTGGGGCCAGGGCTGTGGAACAGTAGGTTAATCCTACACCTGCGGTGCCAGCATCCCATATGGTCACCAGGTCTAGTCCCGGCTGCTCCTCTTCCCATTCAGCTCTCTGCTATGGCCAGGGAAAACAGTAGAAGATGGCCCAAGTGCTTGGGTCCCAGCACCCATGTGGGAGACCAGGAAGAAGCTCCTGGCTTCGGATGGGCTCAGCTCCAGCCATTGAGGCCATTTGGGGAGTTGAACCAGTGGAGGGAAGACCTTTCTATCTTTCCCTCTCACTGCCTATATTTTTAATTTTTTAAAGATTTATTTATTTGAAAGAGTTACACAGAAAGAGAAGGAGAGGCAGAGAGAGAGAGAGTTCTTTCATCCACTGGTTCACTCCCCAGTTGGCTGCAACAACCAGAGCTCCGCCAATCCGAAGCCAGGAGCCAGGAGTTTCTTCTGGGTCTTCTCATGTGGGTGTAGGAGCCCAAGGATCTAGGCCTTCTTCCACTGCTATCCCAGGCCATATCAGAGAGCTGGATCGGAAGTGGAGCAGCTGGCTCTCAAACCAGTGCTCATGTGGGATGCCAGCACTGCAGGCAGCGGCTTTACCCGCTATGCCACAGTGCCGGCCCCCTCACTGCCTATAACTCTACCTCTCAAATAAATAAATACTAAAATCTTTTAAAAAAAGAAATTATGCTAACTTTACCTAAGATTTCTCATTGCACAAATAAAAATGTAGAGCAAAATGATCTTATGAAAACAGACTGAAACAACCCTGACATTTTTATGGCATTGTTCTATATAAATAGGTACATTTTTTAACATCTGACAATAGAAAACCAAAATCAGAAAGTAACTATATTACATAATATGAAATGACTGTCTTGTTACAGAAGCTAAAAGAAGAAACTACCATGGTTGCCATATTAGCCAAGAGGTACACATTCTAGAAGGGATGAATTTTCTCTCTGGGTATCAAGTTTGTTAGATACACCAGGTATGCACAACTGTACTGTGGGACATCGACTAGGGGACCATGTCTTACCAGTCTTTCATTTACCAAGTAATTATCACATGCTAAATAGTTCATTACCAACTATACTGAAAGACACTAATAAAGTTGTACCACTTTTTGAAAAAGTAACTAGCTATGTTTATGAAAAATTACCTCCTGAAGTGAAATGGACACTATGGGAAACGGTAACTTGATCAGCATAGCCCTGACTGTTAATAAACAACTTAATACATTATCCCTCTTAGTAGTTTTTTTGTCTGTTCTACTTAATATGACTGGTTTAATTCTGTAATTAATACACAGTTATTCTTAAGTGTTGAAATTTACCTGAAATGTGATCCCTGTTAAACATAAGAGTGGGAATAAGAGAGGGAAGAGATGTACAATTTGGGGCATGCTCAAGCTGACTTGCCCCAAATGGTAGAGTTAAAAACATACCAGGGGATTCCAATTCAATCCCATCAAGGTGGCATGTACCAATGCCATCTCACTAGTCCAAGTGATCAATTTCAGTTCACAATTGATCATAATGAAAGGACTAAGAGTCAAAGGGAGCACATAAACAAGTCTAGTACCTGCTAACACTAACCGATAGAATAAATAAAGGGGAGAGTGATCCAACATGGGAAGTGAGATACTCAGCAGACTCATAGAATGGCAGATGTCCTAAATAGCACTCTGGCCTCAGAATCAGCCCTAAAGGCATTCGGATCTAGCTGAAAAGCCCATGAGAGTATTTCAGGCGTGGAAAGCCAAGACACTCTGGCAAAAAGATCTCTGTGAGTGAGATCCCAGTGGAAAGAACAGGTCTTCAAAGAAGGAGGTACCTTTCTCTGAAGGGAGGAGAGAACCTCCACTTTGACTATGACCTTGTCTAAACAAGATAAGAGTCGGAAAACTCAGAGGGCTTCCATAGCCTTGGAAACTCATGACTGGAGCATAGGGAGATTACTGATGCCATAGACAGGAGTGTCAATTGGTAAAGTCAACAACAGGAGTCACTGTGCACTTACTCTTCATGTAGGATCTCTGTCCTTAATGTGCTGTGCATTGAGATTTAATGCTATAACGAGTACTCAAACAATATATTTCACTTTCTGTT